CGGACTCTTGGCAAAGCCCGTTGGCAGTAGCTTTCAGCCGCTTCGCGAAGTACTACTCCTGGACGATGTGCTCGCAGTGTGAGCGGTTGCAGCCCGTCAAGTTTCGACCTGCCATGGCTCGCGCCAAGTGCAAGCCCAGCGCCATGATCCGGGCATGCAGATACTGCCACAAAGGTATTGGATACTGGGCCCCAACACCTGCAGAAATTCCCAAGCCTCTGCGGAAATTATCGCAGCCCATTGTGCAGGCACTGCGCCTGTTTCAGGTCAACATCGGTAAGCCAGAACGAGCATTCCAAGGCTACCACGTGCACACAGCAGCCACTCGCTTTAGTTGGGAAGAGAGCACTGTGGAAGAGCGCCTTGCGGCTTTGCAAGGCCGGGACTGGCGACGAGGCCGAAAGGCTTACGAGTACTTGATCAGTTGCGCGGACAGCTCCTACTCGGAGTTCTTGAAAGCACACACGAGCTTTCTGCGCCGCAGGAAGCGTGATATCGCTGCAGGAGATGTGGATCCGTGCCGAGCCATCCCATTCCTGCCGATGAACTTCATGGAGACGATTGGCCTTGAATGTGCAGTGTGGCCGCATCTCTATTGGACCACCCACATGTGTGAAACTTTCATCCGGAGTCAAGACATTCGCCGGCAAAACCGCAGCCCGAACGCAGTCGCAGCGAACGTGAGCGATAGTTCGGATTCGGATAGGTCGGAAGATCCCGAGATCGAGGAGCCGACGGGTGTGCAACAGAAACAGCGCCACAGCGCCAAGGGAAGCTTTTTGGCCAAAGTGTTGTCGTCCGTGATCGGCTACGGCGCTGATCGCGAGCTGAGCCAGTTCGTCTACGATCTGTGGCTCTGGAGCTCGCTCGGTGCGGCAAAGCATGTCCAAGGCACGACACTGCGGGGAGCGCTGGCGAGCAAGACGTTTTCCCCTGCGTACTGGCAAACACTACATCAAGGGCTGGTCGATTGCGTGTCGCAGATCGGCTTTCCGCATCTGTTCATTACGATCGCGCCTTACGAGCCCTCTGCACCGTACCATGCTTGGATCGAGGACGAGCTCTCCAAGATGCTCCGCACGCGCACGAACTTGCCGGCTCCCGAAACCTTCCACCTCGCCCACCTTCTCCTGCAGGTCGCCGAAGGTCTCATATCTGGTACTAACCGGCAAGCAGCAGCGAAGAGTCGCAGGTGGACCGAGCATGTTCTGGCGGCAGAAAATCCAGATATCAAGACAGTGAAGGAGATTTTCGGTAGGCTGGAGTTTCAGGA